ACCGCGATGTTACAACTTCGGCCATTGTAAATCACTGATTAACATTCAGCTTGCATGATAAACACGAATAAAAGAGGAATTACTGAAATAACTGGGGTTGTGACGTCGTGTGTAGATTTACAGGTGGTTAACAGCGTTTTGAAGGAAATATTCTGAAGATGGAGACGATACGTTCCTCGGTAACATTGGTAACCAACCACCTACCAGTCAACAGGTTCCAAACGCTAGAAGACATTCTCTTCACCGTGAAAACTTAAACTCATGTGGTAATTAGCCCAGTTTTTATGCTGCCTGATGCAATGAATTATTTGCGATGTCTGAGGACAAAGTGAGCCGCTCGGTTTGTTCAACGCCCTGATTATGGAGGTAGTAAGCACCTCCGAAACGTTGGCAAACTACCGAACTACACGGCGCAATAATGCAAAAGACGGTCATTAATGAAACTAGGACACGCCCCATGTCCTTGAGATGTGTTTCATGTCATCTGTGTTTAGGTCTTCCAAGTTGTTTAACTTTTCCATCTGATGCTTTGAATGTACTTCTCATCCAGCCGGATACTGACTGCTTTACTGTTTTTACTCTCGTTCGTGCTACATGCCCCTCCCATCTCATGCGTCTTTCCTACGTCCATAGCAACAGGACCACGTTCATCCTAACAAAAAGTAACACGAAGGGAGATGGTCGCTCGTCGTGTTCAGAATTTTGCACGAGAGATCAGTTCCTGCTCTGAACTTTACGCCAACACTTCCTTACGACTTCCGTGCGTAATGGTCCAGTTGGAAGTAAGTTTGAGAGAGTTTCGTTCGGTCCGAGAATCGCAAAAAACCTGAAGCCCGTTGGCCACCTGCGGAAGATAAATGCGCGAATAGCAATAATGATAACGCATGGCCACGAATTCTTGTCTGAACGCGAGAAACCGACGTAAAGAATGACGTTTCTCCCGGAGAACATTGAAAAGCGCGCGATAGGAGAGAACGGATCCCGTCCTTTCGAAAAAAAGTCTTGCTGGAGTCCGGTTATGGGGGCACGCGCTGTATCTAAACGGTTTTACCCCGGTCCCTCTTCCTGCCTCAGATGTGCGTCAGTTCATCTTTTGGAGACATCGGCCATGTATAACAGCAGGACGATGGAACGTCGCCTGTCCTTAGAACGGAGCACGCCTTTGATAACCCCGGAGTCTACCTGGAGCAGGCGGTTGAGATCAAGAGTGAACTAAGCCACGAAATGAACTGCTTTTACCTTTGGGATTTACGTTTGAGGACGCAAGTCGATTTGAAAGTTGTCATGAACTGCACTTCAAAGTGAAGTACACGTCCTTAACGGGTAACGGTTCTTTTCTGTTCTAGGGCGAAGGCCTTTATCAACATTCCAAATTTTACGAGCCCATCCAATTTTTTTTAATTTGCTTGTGTACGGAAACACTTATTAGGATAATTTTAAAGTTCGAAAACTTACCAGAAACCGTAATTGTGAGAAAAATATCGCTCGTAAATATCTAAGGAGTAACCAGTAGCAAAAATTGAAGCATCCCCTGGAAGAACAAAAGATAATGGGGAAAAGCTGCTGTGGCGGTCCATTAAACATCTCGTCCCTCTCACACAAAATTCGACAGTGTGTAAGAATGAGTTGCGGATTATTGAAAACAGAAATTGCTGCCGATGAAAACGTGCGTCTTGAATTTTTGTCAAGGGATGCTTCAGGTACGAATCATTATCTTTACCAGAATAGTTTGTCACAGCTTCAGGTTAATAGGTCGCACATTTATATCACATGATGTCCTGAGAGTTCATAAAAACTGACTCACTCTGCTTGATCTCACTAACAGGCACAACGGTTGACTAATGAATATTTACTTTATTTATGTGTAAGTGCTTAAATGTGGTCTAGAACACCTTCGCATTTCCATGCTTTCACTTTATACACACTTTTCGGTTATCGCAATTGTGAAACAACAAATATTTACGATATGATTGTGAAATCTGCCGTGGTTCTCAGGAGCCCTGAACGACCGTGTCAGCGACCTTGTTTTGCTTGTGGTCTGGTACCGGTGGAGAAAGGCGAAGTCTTGAATCCGGTTCTGCGCGGGGTCTAGTTCTGTATTTTTTTTCAGACTTGCGTAGGAGGAAAATGATTTTCCCCGGAAACAGATAGTTAAAATGGTAGAGTGGAAAACTAAGCAAATCTTCAGATTCCAAAAATAAGGCCGGTCACAATCAAACAGCCTTGATAAAAGATTGGTTTCTCGCGAACCCCTGGGGTTCGCGCACCAGACTTTGGGAACCACCGTACTGTGCCCTTGTAGTTGCTGCTGGGATCACCACAGGCGAAGCAAATATTTGCACTGCACGTAGGCCTACAAACATTTTCGGAAATGACGTCTAGAGAAATTGCCACAGCCGGTGTCCTTGAGCCACTTACGCACAGAACAGTCGAAGCGTTCGCCTGCTGCCGGCCATCCACCACGAGTAATAGCAGCTTCCTACAAAAGTTTGTTTTTATGTGTGGTCCTCCCTCCCTCCCGCCCTCCTCTTACTTCTGAAAAGAAAACTGAAAAGTTGACGAAGTGAACTGTAAAGGTGAAAGGTCACTTTACATAGGGAAGAGGCTTAGGCCATTTACGTTGTAATTACAGCCTTAAGACGTCCAAAATGGAATTTCAATGACGAAATGTCTTGTCCAGAAACGAGGCTGGAAGCTGCTGTGTGCTTTTGGTACGTTCATGGAGCAGGGGGGTTATTTGAGAAGCTGATAGTCGCTCAGAAGATTGAAAGTCTTCGCCTTTAAT